TATAATTAGACATCTTCAGAATTAAAATGCATTTAGCTTAAAAAATTTAAGGATCTCAAAATTCTCAACTAAACATAAAAACAATCTCAGGGTAAAAAGTAAACTCAAAAGCGATAATGCCAAGTTCCAGTTTCCTCTCTTTGGTGTTGCCGTTATTCAATAAGGTAGATATGAGAAAACACTCAGGATATTTTTACTTTTATTTCTCGTCGCCCCTACTGTCCCACTGTAACTAGAATCTGAAATTACACTTTTCCAGTATAAAACTAGTAAAAGTGAAGTAGAAATTCAAAGAAAAGACGGAACCTGTTGATGAAAGGTAAAGATCTCAGTGTAGAAGCAGCCAGATGCGTCCCGAAGGAGCACACAGGTGATGCCTGCGCCCCCGGCTCTCAAGCTGCCTGCCTTGGGACTTTGGGAACGGGCAGGGGCCAAAGAGGCAGCACCCAGGCGGGAATCCAACCTCTGAGGACCTGGCCCAGACCAGAAAGAAAAGGATCCTTGAGGGAAACAGGATGGAGATGAAAGGCCAGAAAAGAGGAAGGACATGGACGGTGATGTTGAAAGCACTATCCAGGGGGAAAACTCAGTTTTCACAGCTTTCTAGCCTACAAGGGATTATTGTGAAAGGATTTCACTGTACTTAACAAAAAAAAAAAGGAAAAAAAACTTCTCACTTTTTCCAGACTTAAGAATTTAAATAGCAGAGACATTCAGAAGTTTTCTTTGCATATATTTTACTCATAATTATGGTTACAAAGATAACCTTTACAAATAAACCTTATGGGATTTCTTTTAAAGAATATTTTCAGAGACAGTATAGGACAGTGTTAGGAGCACGGGAGCCAAGCTGCCTGGGTTTCCCTTTCTGGCCATGTGACCCCAGGCAAGTTGTTCACCCTCTTGTGCCTCAGTTTTCCAATCTGTTAAATGGAAATATTAATAGTGCATGCTTCATAGGGTTGTTGCGAGAATCAAATTAGTTAATAGACATAGTAAGTGATATCTAAGTGTTGACTTTTATAATTAAATTCTTTGCCAAATATTAATTAACCTCCTGCTAACATAAAACATGATCCATGGGTAGGTATTTGGGAGTAGGCAGGGCAAGAAGATAAATAAAATACATTTCCTTCCCTCAAAGAGCAACACAAGGAAGCAGGACAGAAAAAATCCACACAAACGTGCGAAGGAGCACTGACAGGGAGGCGGGCAGGGGGCGAGGCCTGGCTCAGAACTCCAGGGCACTTTGTGGCTGAGACACTTCTCAAACCGCTTTCACACTGTGGCTGAAGTGAGAAGGATTCTGGAGACACAGGCTCTTTGCAAAGTGCAAAGTGCTCTATAAATATTACTTACTGCTACTCCGTGAAAACAAGCACTCTAAGAATGAGCCAATGGGAGGGGCCAGTTACGTGCTCCTAGTGGTTCAAGGCAGTGCAGGGAATTCTTCTCTGAACTATCCTTACAGCCCTTTCCCTGGTCAGACTTCAATGAAGACAAACCTCTGGATGAAAGTCCTCATACTGAGAGATCCATCTTCACCTTTTCACTTCTAGAGCACGGCATTTTCTCTAGGCTTTATGTAGGCTGCATGGACGAATTGATAAGCCACTGGATAAAGGAGTGTCCTCAGACGATCCCCTTGATCTGTAGGCCAATGTCTCTGTGTTTAGACTCTGTGTAGGGCCCAGGATTCTTCCAGATCAGACAGTGACTGCCCAGCTGACTTCTTCTCTTGAATGTCACAAGGGTCTCTCAAATCCAACACGTCCAAAATAGAACACTTCTCTATTTTTCTGCTTCTCCATGAATGGCGCAACCAACTACAAAGTGGCAGAAGCCACAAACTCGCTCCCGCGCTCTCCCTCACCCTCCATATCCCGTCCTCCTCCAGGCATCCTCTACTTTGCCTCCAAAGTTCTCCCAAATCCATCAGCTTCTGTCTTTTTCAAATTCTACCTTCTCTTCCCAGCAACGAACATCTACTTCCTGGACCTCTGCAACCGCCCCCAAACTCCTCCTATTCCCACACTTGTCTCTCTCCAGATTATGTGCAACATGGTTCCAGAATGAAAAGTTCAAATTCCCCTGTTTGTACTTATCAGTGGTTGAATAGTAATCGTTATTATGGAAACAATAACGGTAAAACAGCTAATATTTCCTGAGCACTTAGCCAGGTGCTGTGCTAAGCACTTTATCCGCATCGCCTCATTGAATCCCTACACTGACCCTATGGACTAGGCATCATCATCGCCCCCACTTTACAAATTCAAACAGCAAGACAGAAAGAGGTGTGACGTCACCTGCCCCTGGGACAAAGCTGGTAAGTAGTGATGGAACCAGGCCTCAGACATCAGCTCTGACTTCTTCCCCTCTAGGATGAGGAAGAAAAGCCTCACTCTGCAAGCCTTGCCCTGCACACTTCCACCTGCCGTCAGCATCACCTTCCTCATCCTCTTAGCTCAGTCATGCCCTCGGCAGCGCCATCTCCTCCCTCTCCTCTGTCAGGGTCTTTGCACGTGGGTGTCTCTCCCAACACCCTAAGGTACCCTAAGGTACCTTGTACACCCTCAAGGCACCTATTCCTGCATTAACTACATACCTGTCTGTGCATGCACCACGGGAGGGGCCACATTCACTTGGCATTACATCCAGCACCCAGCACAGTGCCTGGTACACAGGAAGTGCTCAGCAAATCCTTATCGAAGACAGGAAATGGAAGTATGCGTGAAAGCAAAAATCCTAGGTTCAAGGGCCATCTTTTATTACCTGTGTTATTTTAGCCCCTCCCTGAGCCTCTGGGGTCTCACTGTAACTTTCTGGTAACAACCACAGCCATAATAAGAAGTCGCTTTGGAGTTCCTAAAGCTCTTTCACAAAAATCCCATTTGATCCCAGAATGACCCTGAAGCCCACCCTTGACTAAACAGCAAAGCCTCCAACCAGAGTTAGTTAGGTGGCAACTGACTAACAGAGGCT